TATGATCTTGGATACACTCTCCATTTAGACATACCTAATTGTTTAGCTTGTTCACCCATCTATCCGTCCCTATACCCATGTTTGCTTTCACTGACAACACAGTACTGTATATGCAAAGGGGTTCATATTTGTTGTCTGGGTGACTACAACCTTGCCCCTTGTCAGCTCTACTATACCCCTGGGAATTCTTACAGGTCATAGCAATACACTTGAAGAAACACTGTCTGTCAACCCTATACCTGGTCTTGGGCACACTCTCTCCGGCACAGACATACTGAATAGTTCAGCCTGTCCACCCATCTACCTGCCCGCAGATCAATGTTTCCCTTCACTGCGAACACAGTACTGCAGACACGCACAGAGCTCAGAGGCTGAGGGCGGCTGTACTTGGGAGGCAGCGGGGGTACTCCAATCCCATCCAGTCCTCTGGACCCATCGCTCCCCAACTCTTTCTTTTCCTCCTATTACACTCCTCGGGTGTGTGTGTGTGGTGTGGTGTGTTTGTGTGTGTGTTTGTGTTATGGTGTGTGTGTTTTGTGTGATGTATAATTCCCCACTCCCACTGCTCTGCAGAGTATGACTCAGTGGCATCTGGCACGTTCACAGCTCTCGAGTTGCAAACCACAAAACCGAATGAGAACCCGGTCCCCATGAGTCGCTCCCACTCCTCCTTCCCTCGCCCCTGGCAACCACTCGTCGCCTTTCTGCCTGTCCACCTGTGCGCCTGGCTTCTTTCACTCAGTTATCACGTCTTCAGGGCCCATCCCCTGGCCACACGTATCCAAATGTTCCTTTTCCTGGTGGAATCAATATTCCACTGTCTGGAATATCGCTCATCTGTCCATCAAATGATGGACATTGGGTTGTTTCCGCCTTTTGGCTGCAGCAGTCCCGTTGTTCCGGGTGCCGTGAAGCCCACTCACAGAGCACACCTGTCCCACAGGGCTTCCTACACTACACTCTCTACACAAGTGGACTGGCTGATTGTCAGAAGCTGAGCCCCAGGCCTTTCCTCCTAGTCTCTCAATCTGGAAGCCCCACTGAAACGTGTCTAGCAGCCCAGCATCTCGCAAGCCTCCACTGACAGACGGGTGGTGCCTGGACGTGCGGGGCACCAGCGGGAATCGAACCCGGGGCTCCCTCATGGAGGGTGAGAATTCTACCACTGAGCCACAGCGTCTCCTGTCACTGAAGCATGGCTATTAACCTTATCACCTCTCCCTCACCACTTTTCTTGTCCTTGCCCCTTTCTCTTCCCTGTTGAAAAGCCCCAGGCCGACTTCCACTTCCTCCTCCGACAGACTCCTCCTCCTTCTAGCACCCCCACTGCCTGCGGCCATGCCGCAGTCCCCTCCTCTTTCTCTGACTCCACCATAGGCCTTTCTCCCTCTTCTCGAAAGGAAAACAGTCACCTAGAAGTTCAGAACTCAACTGCCCACAGAGAAAGACACAAAGAGTCTGGGACATCTGAACTTGAATTGAGTATTAAAACCAGTAACCAGCTGCCACTGAGTCGACTCATGTGGACCCCAAATAGGTTCAAGTACAATGTGCTCCACAGGCTTTGCAATGCTGACTGTTCAGAAGAGTGACAGGCCTTTCTTCCAAGGCACGTCTGCATGGACGCAAACCTCCAAACTTTCGGTCAGCAGCTCAGTGTGTTAACCGTTCGCACCACTCAGTAATGGGCATTACCCACCCGACTACTGGCAAGTTGATTCCAACTCACAGCGCCCCTAGAGGACAGAGTGGAACTGCACCACAGGGTTTCCAAGGCTGTCAGTCTTCACAGAAGCAAAGCCCAAACCACACCCACAGCTGTGACATCGATTCCGACTCACAGTGCCCCTAGAGGACAGAATGGAACTGCACCACAGGGT